TATATATTCAAGAATAAATATGTTCATCACAGTCTTGGTTATTAATTTCAATGTGAGATTACGTTTCCCTTGTGGCAAGCAGTAACTAAAAACTATCATATATATATATATATATATATATATATATATATATATATATATATATATATATATATATATATATATATATATATATATATATATATATATATATATATATATATATATATATATATATAATATATATGTATATATATATATCATATATATATATATATATATATATATATATACATATATATACATATATACATATGTATATATATACATACATGTATGTATGAATATATATATATACATATATGTATAATATATATATATATATATATATATATATATATATATATATATATATGTACATATATACACACACACGCACACATACAATATATATATATACATATATATATGTATGTATATGTATATGTATGCGCCATATATACATATATACATACATATATACATATGTATATATATACATACATGTATGTATGAATATGTATATATACATATATGTATATATATATATATATATATATATATATATATATATATATATATATATATATATATATTATATATATACATGTGGGTGTGTGTGTGTGTGTGTGTGTGTGTGCAGATATAGATATATATATTTAAAAACTTAAACAAATTTGCGCTACAGGTTTTGTTCTAGCGCCAATAGATCGTGTCACCGTGTCACCAAGTATGGCACTGTCTCTATGGAGTCAACAGACAACCAAATATCGGACAGGTTTCTCCAAGCAACCAACTGACCGGAAGGGTGAGGCCAGGTCAGGTCAGGTCAGGTCAGGGGTGGAGGTAAGCTGTTTACTAAGATTAAAAGGACATATAGCTCATGGTAGACGGGTATCGAAATCAGAGAGAGAATAAAACGAAACAAAAGTCCAAAAACGAGTGTATTTCTAACAATTAATCAACGAAACTCGTAAAAGAGTGGAATGGATTACATAGTTTTCGTGAAATAATTGTGAATTCACAAGGAGAAAATTCTCAGTTGAGAGTAAATCGCGAACACAATGAAATCTTTGTAGTTGAAACAATATACATCCCTAAAAACGAGAGAAATGAATCACAATTACTTAATGAAAGATATTTCAAGTCTGAACCAGAAGTCGCATTCCCGCATCTGTTCAAAGGAACAAGATGAACGAGTGTGAGAATATTGGTAAATCCTGTCACTGTAAGAATTTTACATTACCACAGTTAGTATTCTTAACCAGCAAAACCGACTGAGGATGACTGCACATTTTGCCCAACACATTCATGGGAGAAGGAAGGGAAGAGAAAAGGTTGACCCAAAATGTGTTCTCACGTAGTTTTGACATTCTGTTTATCGTATCGAGGGCATGTAGCGAGCAGTTTATCGGTGACGTAGCTGTGTAGTGTTTACATACACAAACTACCCTGCCACCAGACATAATGGTAAACAGAGGTGATGGTAAACAGGAGTGATAGTGCTCATACGTATACAGCTTTACTTTTTAATTCTAGTTTACAATTAGAATTTTAAAAATGTATACGAGACTGGACAGTGCTGGAGAGGTGTCCTGCACCTGGCCCGACCCAGGAGGTAACGGTCCAACACTCTTCTCTGTCTGTCTGTCCGCAGAGTGAGTGAAAGAGGCTGGGTCAAGCCGACCATGTCCTCAAGTATCAGTGCTCAGTTCCGGTCATGACCCACGGCTTGGCTTGAATTATTATTAGAAACCAGGTGGACAGCATGGTGAAAACGGGGTTTGGAATTATAGTATATATTGCATGCTATACTCTCTCTCTCTCTCTCTCTCTCTCTCTCTCTCTCTCTCTCTCTCTCTCTCTCTCTCTCTCTCTCTCTCTCTCTCTCTCTCTCTCTAAGTGTGAGTGTGTGTGCGTATTCCTAGAAACCTTAACAATGCTGTTTATTAACCATAAAGAAAGGACTAAGATACCGTCAAACAATAAATATATATCAAAATTGTCCAGTAAATGGAAAATAGTATGAACATTTTGGCGTTGTATATTATTGATATTAAATTAAACAATATATACATAAAAAAGACTATATGAAAATGAAACTAATAACAATACAATTAAGTCAGACAAACATAAAGCTAAAATTTCTGTTAATGATTTAAATCTGCTTTTTTCTGATTGAGCATGCGAATCTGTTTCTCCCTCACGGCTCTTATCAGCGGGATTTCGGTGAGAGAGAGAGTGTAACAAGACTCAGTCAGCGTGTCCCCAGATCCCTTTGCTTGGGTTACTTTCTCGCTTCCTTCCGGAGCTTCCCTCTTCGCCTCCTTCCTCGCTGCGCAATGGCGGCTGTACTCGTCCCGGAGGTTCCCGAGCGAAAGGACTTCCTTGGCCATCCTGTCAACCCCGAACGCAAGCACTTCGCGACGGTGCTTGGCCAGGAAGTGTTCGTAGAGCTCGACGTCTGCGTAGTTCAGCTCCCGGAGCGTCCTTCGCATCTCGGGGTCCAGGGCGAGCTTCTTTCTCTTGCCGCGACTGTTCTTCTTGAAGGCAACCACGTCGTGGAGGCTCCAGCACAGCAGGTGGCGCAGCAGGATCAGAGACTCGTCCCAGTGCTCGTAGATCAGCACCAGGTCGAAGAGTCGGTCGAGCTCCTCAACAGCCTGGTGCAGGGGTTCGCCGGAGATGGAGTCTGGGTAACCCATCACGAAGGTCATCTGGTTCTTGCCGAAGAAGCCCCTGTGCCTGGGAAGGGAGATGTTCTGGAACAAGCGATTAGGCACTTTAAACGGAGATAGATCAGAATGTGTTTTGTAAGAATAACCACTATATATTCCTAAATAACCCAAAATCTGTTTCCTTAGACAAACCGAAATCTATTTCCTAAGAGACCAAAACGTTTCCTAAGACCGACCAAAATCTGTTCTTCCAATTCTGTCGAAATTGTTTGAATATTCACTTCTTGAGCTTCTCTCCAAATATTCATATACATTTAGTATTAGGGATCATATTCAATCTATTTTAAGTTGATTTGAAAACTAAGGATAAATCCTTTTCGTCCAATGAGCCTTTTATGGTTTCATTTAATTCTACATTGCCTAATGAGAGTCTTCTTACAACAACCGCTTAAGAAAAAATCTCGGAAAACTGGACTGTAATGCAACATCCAGGTAATTTCAATGATGGAATATGAATTACAATACTCAGATAAGCCTCACATACCCAGAAAGTAGTTGGAAAATATGGGATAACAATTTCGTAGTTTGTGTCAGAATGTTTAGCACGTTAATCTAATAATATTTGTTTGTGTAGCTGTACATTTCATGTAACAATTTTTATTTAATGAAACAAACCACATGTGATGATTTATTAGGCCTGTTCTTAAATTTTTCTTGTTACATCTCTGGGGCCTGCATCTTTCCTTGATACCCTTTCATGGGTCATGATAATGATGAGGATGAATCTTCTCAGGTCCAGAGAGAGAAAATGAGAAGAAAAAGAAAAAAAAAAAAAGTAACATCTAGAAACAGGTTTAGACAATATAATGATAATAATAACTAATAAATAAAATCATCTTGTAACTCACGGCAACTGGGATATCCTTGAACTCCGCGAGATCCTTCTTGAAGTACTTCTTGAGATTGAAGTAGTTGTAGAAGGACTCGAACTGACTGGCCGGCTCCCGAAGGACGGTGACCCAGCGGGCGTCGCTGTGCAGGACCTTCATCTGCTCCTCGAAGGCGACGCGGGTGTGGAGGGCGAAGATGTCCACCTTGCCCTCGGGCGGAAGGAGGCGCCGGGGGATCAGGCTCGGCTGCGGGCGGTCAGGCCATGAGGTTTGGTTGTGATGATTTGTGTTTTGTTAGTGTGCATGAAAGTGTGTGTGTGTGTATGTGTACAAGCGTGTGTATATATGTTAATAATTCTTATTGCTATACAGGTCCAGCATTAAAATTTCTCTTTTCTTGGGACATTTTCGGCCGTATTCACAATCAATGCGAAGCCCTCTGCGATGGGAGTTTGCGAAGGCGATCGCATTGTTGTATCCACAGTCGATGCGATGCGATGGAGGTCGACGCTGATTGGCTCTCAGAACCTGACCGTCGCAAAGTCAGATTCTGAGAGCATCATGTTAGATTTTAGTTCACTTTGTTTCTCATTTTATATGAAGAAATAAATGGATAATATATATCATATATATGCATATATGTATATGTGTGTGTGTGCGTGTGTTTATATATAGACATACATACATATATCGTATATATAGATGTATATATATATATATATATATATATATATATATATATGTATATATATATATATATATATATATATGTTTATATGTATATGTATATATGTTTATATATATATATATATATATGTGTGTGTGTGTGTGTGTGTGTGTGTGTGTGTGTGTGTGTGTCTGTGTGTGTATACATCAAATATATGTAACATTCATATATATAATATATATATGTGTGTGTGTGTGTGTGTGTGTGTGTGTGTGTGTATACATACATATATAAAAAAAAATATATGTATATAATATTAACACATACATATTTATATTGTATATATATATATATATATGTGTGTGTGTGTGTGTGTGTGTGTGTGTGGCTTGCTACAGTTTCATGACGTCACAATTGTAAACAAACCACCAACATGGCCAACAGGAGGCAGTGATTTCGATGGAATTCTCGTATTAAATTACTGATTATGTGGCTAATAGATGATAATATAAACTACCAAGCTATGGATATATCTGTGCCGAGCAGAAGCATCAGCTGGATTATATTAATAGCTATATTATTCTCTAGAAGATAACTTCTAGTTGCTTACCATTATATTTCGCTTATTCTGGGGATATTCGAAGAGCGGTTTTATTTGCCTTTGTTATTTTCTTTCTAAACTCTGTTCGGAAGAGCTATCTAATAGAGTATTTAATCTGTTGCCTTAATATGTGCTGACATTATTTC